TTTTATCATTTCTGTCCTATGTTTTTACTTCTACATTTGATTTCTTGCTTCTCATAGAAGCGTTGTGTTGTGCACCAAACACCAAGGCAAATTCCTTGTAAGTTTAAAAACTTACTTGGCAATAAACCATATTCTGATTCTGATTCTGATTCTAAAACCACCCCCCATGGACATGGACATGGACATGGACAATTCATGCACCTTAGTTTAGTTTTGTCTTCAACTCAATGTTTCTTTTTGCAATAACTCAGTGCAATATTAATTTATGTTTCTTTTGTAATAACTCTCTGCAATAATATGTATATATATGCTGTTACCCTGTATATATCTAGCTCTTAGTTATAGAAAACATATTTATTGTGTAGGAATAAGGTCTTAGCTCTGTCACACTGGTAGCCAAGTAATCGACATTTCTTTGTCAAGATTGACCTTTTGATTTTTGTACAATGACAATAAAGGAAGTCTAAGTCTAAGTCTAAGTCCAAGTCTAAGACGGCGGTCAGTTCCACGGCACGGGGGCTGCCTTACAGTCGGGGGTGCAGCCCAAGACGTCGAAGCGAAGGCCCGCCTGCCCGCTGAACTCCTGGGGGAGGATCCGGATAAAACTGGCCGACACGGGCGTGCCCAGCAGCTGGATGTCGGGGGTGCTCCTGTCCGAGTTGCCTGGGAAAAACTGGAGACCAGGGGGGAAACAGAAGGGTTGTATTCCACACAACGCTAATTCCCGAGTGGGTGTGGAAGCTCTGCACTCACCCCCCCGTCGGCCGTGTAGTCGGTCCAGGTTGTCCCATCCATGCTGTGCTGGATCTTGAATTTGGTGACCCAGTGATCGTTCCGAGGACAACCCTGGATTACAACGCCGGTCACTTTCCTGGTCTGGCCCAGGTTGGCTTGAATCCAGCTGGAGGTCGCTTAAATAATAAAGACAAGAAATGTGGGGTTCCCTGTGGGTTGATTTAACAACAAAAAAACGACACGTACGGCTTCCTGAAGGCATCCAGCAGGAGTTTCCATTCAAGCGGGCGTTGTTGGGAGTGAAGAGGCCGATGGAGGAGGAGGCGGAGAGCTGGAAGTCTGTGACGTTCCCGTCCTCCACTCCCAGGCCGTGGAGGCACACTGAGAACAGCACAACAGGAAAAAAACGCCTGAAGCCCCTGGAGCTTAAGTCCTGGCTTTGGGACGGACGCGGGGGATAAAGGAAAGCTACCTTTCTGCTCGCAGCTGTAGACGATCTCCAGATATTTGGAGACGTCGGGGCAGGGGTCGGCCTCCACGTGGGCGTAGGCGAAGCAGAAAGGACGGTTGTCGCATGCCTTTCGGTACCGAGGAAGGATGCCTTCAACCGTGCAGCTGCCTGGGAAACGGGGACAAAAGAAGAACACGTGATGTCTCCTGAGGTAGCTTCCCCAGGGACCAGACTCATGGTCACTTTTGTGCTTTTAGAAGCCCTGAGAGGAACACTTATGTCCCCGATGGGTAAATGGACAAACTAGGAGGGTGCAACAGCAGAAACTCCCGTCTTTGGACCCCTTCAGGTGCAATCGGGAGCTTTCTTTTGCACCTTCGGACCCGCCCAGCTGTGGACAGATGTCTGCGCTCTTCCGTCCGTAGAAGGCCGACTGGACGTTGACCACGCTGTCGTGCGGGCAGTGGAGGACGGCGGTGGAGTCCTGGCACACCAGCGCCGTGAAGAAGCCTGAAAGGACAAAGGATTTTCGCCCCAACAAGCGTTTAGTCCGGTTTCACGTGCTGACGAATGGCGAGCGGGCAGAGAGGAGGCGGCTGTCTGGGTACCGTCATGGGGGGGGGGCGGCTCGGGGGTCTTCCCTGAAAGAGAAAAACCTCATCAACACACCTCGTACTGCCTTAATCTTTATGAACCTGAATCTTTCCCGGTGTTTTAGTTTAGTTTAGTTTTAGTTTGGATCCCCATTAGCTGCCAAATAAATGGCCACTAGTTTTCCTGGGGTCCTCACATGAAGAAATTATATTACATTATAAACAGATCATAAAAAATAAAAATCAGAGTGGGAAATAATAAAAACATAAACAAGAGTAGAACTATACAACATATATACACAGGTCAGTTCATCTTATCATCTGCAGTAGTTCTGAAGACACAATATTTTTTAAGCTTGTTCTGTTCTGAACTCTTCGTGTGGTTATTGGCAGTTGGTTCCAGTGAAATATGGCTCTATAATGCACTGTGGATTTTAGAGAGTTTGTTCCCACCTCTCCGCTTGCAGATGTAGCCTCTGTCGTACTGGCAGTTGTCGTCGTTCCAGTAGCCGTTGTTGATGAGTATTGAAAGGCAGTCCTCTCCATCGTAGTCGTCCGGGTTACCTGAGAGACGAAGGGCCAGAGTGAGACGGTTTTTCTCGCCTGGTGGCTCTTGTCGTTTTTCAGAAGGAGAAACGGACCTGTGTTCCAGCGGATGTATCGGAAGGGGGAGCCGTCCGTCCACTCCCAGCCGCCCTCTGTGACGGAGTCGTGCCCGCCCATCCACAGAGAGACCCCGGTGGGCGTCTGCTGGATCATTCCTGAGAGCAGCACAGAGGCAGTGTGAAGACCCCAAAAAGACGAAAATCTACAGCTTTTGATTCATTTTCACACTTTAGGTTAAAATGAGAAAAACTCTCATTTCAACTTCAACTTCATTATTGAAATATTCTTAATTTGGATGTGAATATAGAAAAAAGAAAAATGTTGTTTTAAGGAAAGATTGTAATAAACTGATTATAACTGAAGCCTACATTTGGGTATTTTTCTATCATTAATTATCCATAATAAGCTTATTTTGAGGCTGGTGAGCATGACCAAACAAAGAGGCTTTTTAGGGCCCAAAGACCCCCAAGAACAAATAAAATACATTATTTGACCATTATTCTTACTTTGTTTGTATATTTGGTTGATAATCCCTGCAATAAAGGGTAAATTGTCTTTTTTTTTTTATAAGACTTACTGTTTTTGTTGACAAATTGATAATGTTAATAATTCATATAATCCCATTAAATAAAAAAACTGGGAGAACACAGTTCGATTGCCTGCAGAGACCAATCCTGTTCCTCCTTTTGTGTTTTCTGTGGGATCTTTGAACCAAACGGGTGACAAATGGGACCCAGAGACAGAGCGCAGGTGTTGAGGCTCCAGACCTTGTATGAAAGCCTGCTCGAACGGGTCTGTGATGCTGATCAGGTCGCCTCCTTGGTTGACGCAGTCGGCCCGGGCCTCCGCCCACGTCCTCATGGACACGGAGTTGAACAGGTAGCAGAAGTCGTTGAACGGGTCCGGCGTCCAGGAGCCGCACTTGTCGTTCCAGCCTGTGGAAAAACGGGACATTTAACACACCTGTGGACGCCTCTAAGCTAGCTGACGCTCGGCGGGACGCTAACCTGGTCCAGATGTGGGAGGCTGGGGAGGGGGGCCCTGTCCCTTTGCTGTGAGGAGAAAACACCAGAGGTGAGTCAGTGTGCATTCTGAAGCAGGAAAAGGCGGCTGAGCGTGAGGCCTGACACCTTTTTTGCAGATGTACTCCTTCGAGGCGGAGCAGGCGTCATCCTGGAGCTTCCCGGGATCGGCCTGGTTCATCCCGCTCAGGTGGACGCAGTCCTCGTCGCCCCCCCAGTTGTCCGGCTGGTGGCTGGCCCACGGGAGGAAGTCCTGACCCCCCCACAGAGAACAGCAGCGCGGCTTCAGTCGCCGTTTCGGCCGAGGCTCCCGTCTCTGTAACTTACCGAGGCCGTTCCGTCGGTGTACACAAAGTGGTTCTCCGCGCTGATGTCGTTCAGACCCACCCAGGACTCCGCCGGCATGTGGGCTGCGGGACATCCAAACCCGGTCAAATTTGTGATATTTATGCAGAAATTAAGCAAGAATATAAATTTGAAAAATACTTGTTATGTGAAAACCTTGGATATAGGCAGGCCATCTGTAACCTTAGAACAAACAACACTAGAACCCCTAAAGTCACTGGTCGGTATAAAGGTTTAGAGAGAAAGTTAAGATTATGTCAATTCTGTCCAGATAACTGTGTTGGAGATGAGTATCATGTTTTGTTTGAGTGTAAAAATGTAGAAATATGCCATTACAGAGAGAACTATTTTTTCCACAGTATTATGTGAAGAGCCCATCGATGTTTAAAATGGTTTCATTATTTCAGTCTGGAAAAAAGAAAATAATTTGTAAGTTGGGGGCCTTTTTGAAATGGGTCCTCCCATTATATCGATGATGTTATAGTTTTAATGTATATGCGTTACTTTGTTCTGTTATATTTATTGTTTGTGCTCCAAACCATGTATATGGTCATGAGCAATTAAATCAAATAATTGTAATTGAAATTGAAAACCCCCCCCAGCAGACACAGCTTGCCGACGCTTTTCCCCGTTGGCTCACCGGTCAGGAAGCTGAGCTCCTCCTGCGAGTGGAAGCTGGCCAGGTGGCCCTGCTCGGACACGCAGCGGGCCTCCGCCTCCTGCCAGCTCCTCACCGCCTCCGTCTCAAAGTGGTAGCAGAAGTCCCCGTACAGCAAGTACCCGTGGTCGCAGTGGGAGTCTAAAGCACACAAGGCAAGGAAACGCTCGAGAACAGAGCTGTGAGGAGACGCGTGTGTGTGTGTGTGGGGGGGACGTCTGACTGACCGGGGGTGGCGGTCGGTTTGGGGTTCAGTCCACCGGTCATCTCACAGATGTAACCCAGGCTCTTGAAGCAGTTGGTTGTTTCCCATTTCCCGGCATAATTCCCTGAAAAACAGCAGGGAATGAGCTGAGGCTGGTCATGTGACCACCCCCCCCATCCTCAGCCAACAGTCGGCCTCCTACCCGTGAAGATCTGCCCGCAGTCCCACATGTTGGCCGTGTTTTTGGGCCAGCCGGCGCCGTAGTTTGAAAAGGTCACCTCGCTCTTGTCCACCCACCGGAAGGCCCCGTCCTGGTCCATATCTGGAGTCAAAGCGCCAGAGGAAACAGAGGCGGCCATCTTTACTCTGCTCCACTCAGGAGGAGCAGAGAAAGGGAGACGGCGGCGTACCCGACAGGCCGATCCACAGGTCGGGGACGTCCGCGTTGTGGAAGTCTGGAAGCTTGGAGTTGATGAAGAACTGCTCCTCCTGACTGTGAACAGAAACCGTGAAAAACACGTACCGTTACAGACGGCCTCATTCAGTATTCAGGAATAAAGAGAAGAGAGGAGATTTAACCCTATAATGCCAAATGTATCATATTTGATAGATACAGTCTCCGAAGTCTTTTGGATCTGAGACTTTCTGCATCATTTAGTGGTAAAAGCTTTGCTCAAACCCCTGTTGTACAAATTCAGATATACCTGATAACACCCAGTAGAAGACTACACTAAAATATATTTTTGGCTTATCGCACGCTAATTTGATCAAAATAATTTCTGTACGTCCATACGTTGTTGAGGGGCCAAAGAAAGACTTCAGACTAAAAAAACTGTTGTTTAAGGACTTACTTAATGACTTTCAGCTTCGGCTCTGGCTCTCTTTTTTATTCTGACTTGGATGAATAGACTGCAATTTATTCATCCAAGTCAGTTTTTATCTTTCCGAAATAAAAAAATGCTTATTTTTTGTCACAAACGTTGTTACAAATGTTTTAAAAAGCCAGCACCTGCTTCCTTTGCAACAGACAGCGTTCCTACCTGTTGATGATGAGCAGGTGAGCCCCCATGTCGGAGCACTTGGTGAAGGCCTCGTGCCAGGTGGTCAGCAGGTTGACGTTACTGACCATCCAGTAGCAGCTGCCGGCGAAGCTCTGCCAGCCGGGCCAGCCGGGGGGGCAGATGGCTGCGGGTGGCCATTAAAACGGTCAGCATGGAGTTATCCAGGGATCTTTAAGCTGGGGTTATCGGTCGACTTACTGTTGAGCGGCCGTTTGCACATGTAAGGACGCTCATATCGGCACAGGTGCGCCCTCCAGGTGCCGAAGGACCCCGTGGCGTCTTTGATGATGGAGGCGCAGGAACCCACCTGCGCGTCGCTGTTGGAAAAACGGGAGGTTTTAGAGCCTGTGGCCTTTACTCTGGGACCTTTAAACTGGACACAGGCTGAGGGAGCTCACAAAGAGGGCTGGCCGTCGGCCCACTTGGTGTAGGACACCTGCTGAGCGTCCGACCAGGTGAATTGGCTGTTCCCGGCCTCCACCTGGCAGGAGATGGTGGTGCATTTCTGGAGAGACATTTTTATTTATTCGTTTATTTGATAGGGACAAGTATGTTTCATGAAACATGTCACACACTACAACATTTTAGCTAAGGCTAATTCTCAATGCCTGTCCCCAGTTAGACTTTTACACAAAACACAGTGACTGTACACAAGGCACAACAGAACAAATTACACACTAAAACAGATACAAGATCAGGTCAGTTAAATTATTAATGTTCACATGTCTGACTTCTCAATAAAAAGTCTTTAAGTTTATGTTTAAAAAGGACCCAGTTTGACTCAGCCTTCAGTTCTGCAGCTAATGTATTCCATGTTTTGGTGCCTTGTACAGTGAAAGCTGATTGTCCGAAGGAAGTTTTGCGTCTGGGTACTTGACAGTTTCCACTGTGAGCTCCTCTTGTGAAAGGAACTACACAGTCACTCAAAACCTCAAAACCTCAGGGGCCTCATCATGCAAGCATTTAAAAAACAGTTTTAACTGAGCAAATTTGACAAAGTTCTCAAAGTTTAGCATTTTTAGATTGTTTAGACTAACACAGTGATGAGACCTGACTGTTTTTTATCTAAGATTTTCATAGCTCTATTGAATATCATCTGAAGAGGCTTGATAGTGGTGCTTGTGGCCTGTGACCAAGAACTAATGCGGTAACTTAGATGTGAAAAGATCATGGAGTGCACAAAACTGTGAGCAGCGTGAAACGGTAGGTAATCTCTAACCAGTTTGAATGTGTACAAGTTTGCTTTTGTTACTCTGGACACTTTTTTTACATGGCTGACGTTCACTATTGATGAAGAAAACAGTGCAGAAGCAGGAGAGTTCCCCCCCATCCCTACGCTCTTCTCACCAGAGTGGAGAGCCCGATCCAGAGGTCCAGGTAGGTCTCGTCCATGGCTGACATCACGAAGGCGTGCTCCTCCTCCGAGGTGACGGACACCAGGTCTGCCCCCTCCCGGATGCAGTCGCGCCGGGCGGCTGACCAGCTCTTCCTGGTCTCAGACTTCGTCTTGTAGCAGCTGGAGCCGTACGACAACCAGCCGTTGGCCAGGTCGCACTGGGGGGCCGGGTTAGCTGCAGGGGGAAGGGGGAAAGCCGAACTTCAGTACTTACAGGGGAGGAACTTTTATTTTTTATCTAAGCCCCAGTCTTCTGCAGAGCGCTCCAGATAATTAGCTTAAATGCTTTATTTCATGATTAAAAAGAGGCTTAACCCTGTAATGCCAAATGTATCATATTTGATACATAGGGTTTCTGAAATGTTTTGCCTCTGACACTTTTTGCATAATTTAATCGTAAAAACTTTTCTCAAAATCCTATTGTACACAATCAGATATACCTGATAACAGGGAGCAGAAGACTACACAAAAAATAAACTTGACTTATCGCATAAGTAATGAATTATTAATATAAAAAATGTGTTTCTGTTTTTTCTTTTTACATATTTTGTTAAAAGGCCAAATAAGGAATTCAAACCAAAAAAAAGTAATTTTCTGTTTTGTTTTATTCTTGGATCAGGCTTTAAAGGGTTAAAATCTCAGAAAAAGTCCAAACTGACCACTCTTGCTGTGATTTGATGAAATATTTGGTATAGTTTCTTTAGTAGGGGCTTGTTTTGGAGTTTGCATGTTTTGGGTGTGTGTGTGTATGTGTGCGTGTGTGTGTGTGTGTGTGTGTGTGTGTGTGTGTGTGTGTGTGTGTCTGTGTGTGTGTGTGTGTCCCGACAGTCCAGAGTGATGCATATTAGCCTGACTGGAGGAGGAATAAGCAGCCATACATACTCGGCGGACGGTTCATTTGCTGTTTGGACTCATGAAACATCTTTTCTGTCCCAAACTTTTTCCACAAATAAATACATTTAAAAAACACCTTTAATTGAGCTTTAAGCATCAGTCCAGTGATTCACTGATCAGATTACGGTCATTAAAAGCTGATTGAAGGCAGCCGAACACATCTGACCCCAGCGGGGGGGGGCAGCAGACTCACAGTTAATGTGCTTGCAGATGAATTTCCGCTTGATGTCGCAGTTTTCATCATTCCAGTGTCCTGAGCTTTCTCCCACCAGCTGGCCGCAGTCCTCTGCGTCCTCCCAGTTATCTGGCTGGCCTTGCCTCCAATACCTGAGGCAGAAGGGAGGAAGGGGGGGGTGTTTTGTGGATCATTTTTACAGCATTTATATTTTTAATAATACTCATTTTAAGACAATCAGCGCTGTGCTTCTCAGATGTTCCTCGAACAGGCTTTCAGATTAGTTAATCCCCCCAAAATCAGGTTAAAAATAGATGATGTGATTATGTCATTGAGGGGAAACAGAGATTGGACTTTGTGTGTAACACATACGACAGTTGCTCTATGAAAGGAGTCCCATCGGACCACTCCCAGACCCCTTCCACTACGCGGTCGTTCAAGCCGATCCAGTAGATCTCTGAGTCGATCTGCGTCCGCACCCACAACTATAAAAACAGAGCATATGAAGGAGGGCTGAGAGGGGCTTTTTGAGTGGGATGGACTTCGATTTTTCTCTGCGGAGGGGGCTCACTCTCTCCTCGATGCTATCGATGCTCATCAGGTGGCTTCTCTGACTCAGGCAGTACGCGTTGGCGTCCAGCCAGGACTTGGTGTCGGCCGAGAAGAAGTAACATCTGTCGTGATGCTCCCTCCAGCCGGCGTGGCACTGGCAGTGGGCTGGAACAAAGCAGAGCACAGATGGAAACCACCCACGTCTGTACGGCCCCAAAAGGGAGGTCAGGCCAGGTCAAAACCACCTGATCTGGTGATCAGATGGAGGGTAAATAGTTCTGCAGAAATTAGGGTTGTCACGATACTAAAATTTTCAACTCGATCCCGATACTCAGGAAAATACATGAGGCAATTACGATTTTCTTGCCTGGGATCTTTCTGTTAGTGACCTAATCAAAATGGATGTGGGCGGAGTTGGATATGTACTTGACTAATGGTAGCATGTTATCATTAGCCATTAGCCGCAGCTAGCAGTTCAATGCTAACGTCTTGTTAATGATCATAAACAACGTAAATAAATACATAAATAAATCTGGTATTGATACTTTGGAAAATGAATATTGTATCCGGATACAACATTTTAGCATCGATACTTTTTTGAGTATCGATACTTTTGACAACCCTAGTAGAAATGGCATCCATCTTAGAAAATTAGACACAAAAATGTAATATTTGTATGACACCTGGTGAGTATCACTTAAGAAAATGTGGCTGAAACAGGAAAAACCTAAATGGTTGTGAGGATTTAAACAGAAGTTTGAGGTTACAGCGCCCCCCACTGGCTCCTGGGGCGCCTGCGGGGCGGTCAGAGGGAATCTGAGGGTCAGCCCGGAGTGAGTTTGGTACCACAGCTGATTATAAAACCTGCAGCTTCCCAGCTGATTTGGACATACAGTCGATGAATCATCCATCGTAAAAACTCTTTGGGTGAATATTTTACTTTAACAGCCTCACAGACACTAAAAAAAATCACATGATTTTCTCGTGTATTTAATTAGCAGTGACTACAATGAAAAGCAGAGCAGAACCCCCCCCCCCTATATGTATATCTATATCCATCATCAAAAGTGTCTTAAAGTTAATGTTTTTAAATTTGGTTTCCAATCAGAATTGGTGTTTGTTTCCACAAACATTTTCACATAAAAAGTTTTTAAACCTGGTGAATTAAGCGTAGTTTAAATAGAAAGGAGTATAACAAAAAATAAAAAATAAAAAGGGAAGATAATACCTAATATTTAATAATTAATAATGTAACATAAAGTAGGTACAATTGATTTAAAAAGCACAATAGATAAACTATTTACTGAATATAAAAAACAAAGGAAGACAAATAAAGCAAGATGTGTTATTACAGTGATATAATTACAGTATATTTATTCTCTGTCCAGGAAGGTGTGCATTACAAATAAAAAAATAAATATAAAACAAATATATCTATATATTAATAGATTAAAAACAAACCCATCTAAACGGTTCTGCACAAGGTGAAAAAAAAATAAAAGACTTACCGCAGAGAACAAAAGCAGCAAAGCCGAGGAGCCTCAGGAGTCCTCTGTACATTTTCAAAACTTTTCTTCACCTTTCAAGGTGTTTGCCTGCACATCATATGAGAAAGCAGCTCCCGTCAAAAAGGCAATATGAGAGTGTGTGTATGTGTGTGTGATGTGTGTGTGATGTGTAGGATCTGGGAGCTCTCAGACCTCTGAGCATCCTCTCCTTGGTCGTCCACTTTTCAGCATCTGTGTGGAGTCCAAAGACTGAAAGCAGTAAAACACAGATGACAAGCACTCCACCTTTTGACTGTCAAAGCAACGACAACAAACTGTTCAGAAAACTGAAAAATACAACACAAAAATACTTTCAGGTGTCCCCATGATTAGCATTTAGCATTAAAGATTTCAAACTTTAAAGAAAGCAGCCATAAAAGGCCTCTTTCGACACTTTTCGAAGGATTAGATTTCCAAAAAGGACGCTTTTTAAAAAGTTTTTCTTCACATACATTAGCCTCATTATGCATCCATTTTGTAAAAGACACCTAATCTAAGAGTTATTTCTAACAAATTACAAAAAGCACTATTTGCTGATGACCTAAACATGTCAAATATAATTTATTCAAGAGATATTGCTTTTTCTTAGCTTATGTAAACAAAGCTGGTGTTTAAATGTACACATATGTCAGCAAAACCCCAAAGTCCAGAACGGTTAATCACAGACGCGTCAGCTGTTGTAAACTTGAGCTGTTAGGCTTTAACCAGCCTTACAGGAGCTCACAAACACCTAAAAGCTGCTGCTTTCTCATTCATGGCTTTAATGAGAGGTGGGAAAAGGGCTCAGTCAGAGCATTTCAATATAAAAGTGCATTTTCAGTTATCAAATGAGAAGAGAAATTGGTCAAAACAGCCTTTCCAGGCAGTTTTATTGTGTCAGTTTCTACCACTACCATGTAAATAAAGCACTGAATTGAGGCAGTTTAGAAATGACTGGAATAAAAACAGTGGTTCTGAACAAAAGCCACGTCACAACTTAGAAGTTTTTCCTTATTTTCATTTTTATTTTGTACAAACAGGAAACAGCATTTGTCTGCTCGGAAAACTCGACAGTTCCCAGAGGTTACAAATGTTTTCAACATGGCAGAAATAGACTTGTTAAATAAACACCTTTAAACTTATAACATGAAATTTTCCATTTTTAGACAAAAATATACTCAGACTTCACATCTATTCTAAGAAAATAGTGCACAGCAATGGATTATATACTATAGAAAGCATAATATCAAAGATACGCCCATTTTTACGATACGAAAAAAGGTCCAGGTCGTGAAAAGACCGGGAGCCTCGACGGAGTCGCTTAAATATCCAGAGAAAACACTGATCAGGATTTCTGACTGTCCAGCTGGATTTGGAAAGGTGTCAGAGGGCAGATCTCTGCTCCAGGAGCCTCCAGCCCTCCCTCGGACACGGCCTTCCCCACTCGCCACATGGAGGTAAATACGCAGGAGTCGAACTGGATTTGTCAGACAGCAATTCCCCGAGAACTTCACGACCGAGCTGAGATCCGATTGGCCACGAGGAGCTAATACGTTAATGGCAAAAATAAACCGAGCTGTCGCTTCTTTTGGAGTAAAAATGGCAGAGTATCTTTTCCGAAGGAAGAGTCAGTGTTCGAGCAGCTCAGGCTGGTGATGAATCTAATAGAAATCTCTTTTGTGTGCTGATTTGTCAGAGCTTCAGACTGGCCCCCCATTCCCTCCCTCCAGTAGTTTGATCTCCAGAGAATGTCTGGCCACTACAGTCCCTTTAGAAAAGTCAAAACTGAGTCCCACGAACAATAAAATACAGTACAAATACGACATCAATGATTGCAAATGACACCAGGAGGAGCTTCGAGGGATTTCAAGTCTTTCCGAGTGTGGAGTTTGTGTTCAGTGTTACCAGCAGTGATGGGGGGGGGGGGGGGGGGGGGCGCCTCACATGCAGTTGACCACGTTGCTGGAGCCCTGGCCCACGTCTCGGATCTGGCTGACGTGCAAAGAGCAGACGGCCACGCCGGCCCCGGCCCGGCAGTGGGACACGGAGCCCACCAGCTCCCACCTGGGCAGAGAGGGCAGGGGCTGAGGGGGGGGGCATACATGTGGAACAACACAACCCCAGAACTCTGGTAAAGGTAACCACTTCTTCTTCTGCCATCATGCTGCTTTCGATATCTTAGAAATCTTTTTAATCGCTTGCTTTAATTTGACAAATTTTATCTGTGCTACACATTATTCTTTTACTCTAGTTTATAATTTTGCTGTTATCTCCTGTTGCTCTTCATCCTCCTAACCCTATAATGCCAAATGTATCATATTTGATTCATACGGTTTCTGAAGTCTTTTGGATCTGAGACTTTTTGCATCATTCAGTGGTAAAAGCTTTGCTCAAACCCCTGTTGTACACATTCAGATATACCTGATAACAGCCAGTAGAAGACTACACCAAGATATATTTTTGACTTATTGCACACTAATTTGATCAAAATAATTTCTGTTTTTTTTTCTTCATATGTTGTCGAGGGGCCAAAGAAAGACTTCAGACTAAAAAAATCCAATATACTTCCTATTTTTCTTGGATCAGGCTTTAAAGGGCTAATTGGCCCTCGGGGGGAATGAGGTTTTAATCTCCTGTAATCTGAAAGGCTTCTCCAGTCCATAGTGCTCACACCCAATTTGTATGAGATGGTTTTGCTGAGGTCATCAGAAAGGGCACCAACCATAATAGGCCAATACTGAAGTTAGATGCTGTGTGAGACCTAGTTTTAGCTATTTGATGTAAAACTGACCTTGTTTTCAACATAAAAGTGATTGGACTTTTCTGGGGCCTCACCTGTTCATTCGAGGCTCGAACGCCTCCACTGTGTTCAGGTAGATGTTCCCGTTGTGCCCCCCCACTGCAAACACTCTCCCCATCACGGTGGCCACCCCGACCCCCCCCCGCGGGGTGGTGAGCTCGGACACGTACTCCCAGCGGTGCATTCGGGGGTCGAAGCGCTCCACGGAGCTCAGGGGGGAGTTGTCGTCAAAGCCACCTTCAGAAAGCGGTGAACAAACAGCAAAAGTGGCTCTCAGCGTCAGCTTTAGGTAACGACTCGTGTTTTTAGCGCTTTCTAACGGTGACACGGCAGAAAAGAGATGCTGGAGTAAGGTGAAAGCCAAGAGGAGCAGTAAACAGGCCCTCAGTGAATCATTAACCAAACAGCATCACAAACCACAAGCTTCCCTCTCCGTTGGAGCCTTCGTGTGTAAAACGGAGAGGTGTGCACGCAAAGCATGTGACTGAAACTTATAACTGCTCTTTATGGCTCCAACAAACAGGACCTGACAGCGAGGGACCAGATCCACAAAGCGCCCGGGTCATCACATTCCTCTCACCCACGACGTAGAGGCAGCCGTTGAGTTTGCTGACTCCGTTTCCGGCCCGGCGCTGCCCCATCTCGCTGATCTCCGCCCACTTGTTGAGGTGGGGGTTGAACCTCTCCACGCTGGACAGGGAGGCCACGCCGTCGTTCCCCCCCACCGCGTACACGTAGCTCTGAGCACAGAGGGCCCGCAAATCAAAAGTCTGGGTTCTGACTGGGGTTGTCACGATACTAAAATTTTCAACTGGATACCGATACTCAGGAAAATACTCAATACCATTTTCGATACCACAAGGATAAAAAACAAAGACCCCAAAATTTAACTGAATTTTGACAGGTTAGTGTCTTTGGTTTCAAACTGACCTGTTACTGATGTTATTCTGACTGGTGGCCCGCATTAATGACCCTAACCCTAACCCTAACCCTAACCCTGACCCTGACCCTGACCCTCCACCCTTCATAATTGTGAGAAATAAATATTTTTGGGTTAAACTTGTTTGGACTTATTGTACAAACCTATTTAACATCCACTATTTTAACAGCATATTATGGATAGAGTTTAATTAAGTGTTTGGAAGATTAATTTCACTATTTTTAAATTAATGTCTATATTGCCATGAGGCATTACGATTTTCTTGCCTGGGATCTTCCTATTGGTGACCTAATCAAAATGGCTGACTTGGATGTGGGCGGAGTTGGATATGTACTTGACTAATGGTAGCATGTTATCATTAGCCATTAGCCGCAGCTAGCAGTACAAGGCTAACGTCTTGTTGATGATCCTAAACAACGTAAATAAATACATAAATAAATCTGGTATCGATACTTTTGAAAATGAGTATCGTATCCGGATTCACAACATTTTAGCATCGATACTTTTTTGAGTATCGATACTTTTGACAACCCTAGGTCTGACTGGGGTCTGTTCTTACCCCCAGAGCCACGGAGCCCACCCCTCCTCTGGGGGTGTTCATCGGGGCCACGGCGCTCCAGCTGTCGCCCTCGATGTCGTAGCGTTCCACGTCGTTGAAGCAGGAGTTGTCGTCCAGGCCCCCGATGGCGTAGATGGGCCCGCCCAGGGCTGCCAGGGCGATCCCCCGCCTGAAACACACACCCCCGATCAGAGCAGATGCCCCCCCCCCACCCGGCTTTACCCTAAAAAAAAGCAGCAGCTGAAAAAGCCGAAAGAAACGCAGTTCTGGGGGTCAGTTTGAGCTTTTTTTGGGGGTGGGAAACGTGGCCCTGGACTCTGCCCGTGTACCTTTTGGTGTTCATGGAGGCTTTCATCATCCACTTGTTGGTGAGGGGGTCGAACATTTCCATGTTGCCCAAGTGTTCGTTGCCATCATGACCCCCGACGGCGTAAACCTTCCCTGCAGGGAGCATCAGGCGTGCGTTAGCGGGAGTCTTTGATACTGATTCATCCTCTGTCTAACCCCCCCCCCCCCCCCCCCCTCACCTCCTACAGATATCACCCCCACGTGGCGCCGTCTGCTGTTCATCTCCGGGCCGAAGAACCAGCAGTTCTTGGAGATGGAGTAGCACTCGATGCTGCGGAACGGGTCCCCGGAGCCCCCCCGGCCGCCCACGCAGAACAGCACCCCTGAGGAGGAGAGGGAGGGCGTCTCAAACACGGGACACGGCTGACTTCCTGTGGCCCTCTCCCACCCGATGAGGCCATCAGACCAAATCCCACTGTCCAGTGGGAGGAGCAGCAGGTGTATCGGCACCGGGACGTCCAGTTTGTGCCGTGTCCAGTTTGTGTCACAGGACATCAATTCGTGTGTTTTTTCTCTTTGAAGAAGAATAATGTCTCCTTATCCCGTGTACCATCTCAGCTCAACACAGTGTTTCCATTATGTGTGAGTACCACCTCACTGTGGGCGGGTCGTCCACAGAGGGGACGATACACCTGCGGCTCCACGTGTCTGGACAGTGGTAGTGATGATCACAGAATGGATAAAAATGACACGTTTGTTGTTCCGCTTTTATAAAAAGAGCGAATAAAATTGAATCACTAAAAATTGTGAAATTTCTGAATGAACCGGTGCAGACTGAATGAATAGAATTAGGATTAATGACTCATAATCTGTCAAATCCCTGACTAACATCTTCCACAACTACTCTGTTTTTATGGAAGACATGCCACTGACTCTCCTCTGAGTCACATTTTACAGGTTGATGTGGCTATAATCAGGCACACAGCCATCAGGTTGACTGGCACCTGTTAGCTGTCAGCTTGTGGGGGGTGTCCATTTTGAGCCCTGTTAGGGAGGTTTGTGTTGCGTGTAGGCAGAGGTCACACATGGGGGGGGGGGCAACACTCCGCCCTACATCGGTGCTACCTGCGGTGTGCTTCCGGGGGACGGTGCGGACCGAATACTCGAAGTCCGGAACCGTCTTGTTGCTGAGGTGAAGGTGGTAGTTCCTGGCCTCGTCCATCAGGTCCCGACAGTTCAGGTTGCCTTTGATCATCTCGTCTTTGGCCACGGTTCCGGTCAGAAACTCCACGGGCAGCAGGGGCAGGCGCACCTGGAGCAGAGCGAGGCCAGAGAGGGGTCAGGTTAGTTAAAGGGATCGCACACAGCTGAAAACCCGACCCGTGAGGAGCAGCGCCGTTCCACCTGAGACATGATCTGGTCCAGCCAGGCCTCGTGGTGCTGGGGGTTGGCCTTCAGCCACTTCACGGCCGCGTTGTACACCTGGGTTTCGGAGTGGATGTTGAGGTCGCAGGAGGACAGCAGGGTGCGCAGGTGTTGGGGCGACACGCAGGTGAAGTCCTCGCACTCCACCACCTCGTTGAAGTGCTCGCAGGCGTAGCGGTCGGCCATGTCCATCAGGTCCACGCGGTTGTGGCTCTCGGCGAATGTTCGAACGGCCAGGCAGTTGGTGGGGTGGAAGTGGGCCTTCATGTACTCGCAGCAGGCTCTGGCCACCAGCTCCACCTGGCAGGTCGAGCAGAGGAAAGCGTGTCGCTCTGGATCCGAGCCGGCCGAAAGCAGACTACATGTTTGGCGTTTAGGGTTTGTTTACCTGAAGGATGCAGGCAGCATAAAGCAGTGGCTGGACGTTGTCCACGGTTAAAGTCAGCTTGGATGAGTAGGCAAAATGCACCAAGTCCTGGATGGCGTCCCCGTCAAAGTCCTTAATCTCTATGAGCTCCTGCTTGGCCTCTGACATCTCTGACAGGAACATGGCCCTGAGAAGGAAAACCCATTTTCAAGATTCAAGCTCAGATCATTTGAGAATATCATCAGTGCTGAGCAAGATTTTCTATGAATTATTACCTATTTTCAGTAAGACTGTTTAACCAATGAATCAATTACTAACATATAACATAATGAACAGATGGTTATGTTATGACATATTTAATTAGCACTTCGGGTGGTTAAATAAACAACGCCAATTACATTTGTGTAGACCCCTGGAAAAGAGTAGAGATGACAAAACAGATCTTCTCGTGAGGATTCCATCCACATCTTTGTCATCATCTTCATATACGGTTCAGATTTGATTTACAGGGAACTTTAATGACCCCTGAAAGGGCAGCGTGGCATGTGAATTAAAAAAATGATTCTAAATAAAATAAATAAAAATAGTGTGCTGCAATGCAGTGACTTAAATACATGCAGCAGGTGTGAATGATTGTGTAATAAACGGTGTGCAATCAGAGGAAAAAGGTGTCATCAGTTCTGTGATTAGATAAATAGATCAAAAGGAAAATCAGGGTGGGAAATAAAGAGTACAATACTAAAAAGGAAAACAAAAACCTGAACAAAAAACACACCTGAAGTAAGGGATTACACAGGCCAGTACTAGCTTGTGACATGGTATCAACCTACTGCCAACCTACAAAGAGAATCAGATACAGATTACAAGACACAGGAAACACTTTTCTTTTACTACTACGCCTCGAATCTCTTTCCATTTTTCACAGCACACTGTGTTCTTAGCGTAAAATCCGAAGAATAAATAAATAAACCCACTGAAATAAGCAGGTCATGGAAGCCACATTAAGTCTGGACGGAGGCGCCTACCTTCAGGGTGACATCGCAGAGCTCCCCCACTTCATAGAAATGCCTGAGAGAGTTATGGAAGTCCTTCCAGGCTTCGTGGGCCTCAAACACAAAGGAGCCGTCGGGCTCACATTCGGCTTTCAACGCCCTGTTTGCCGGCCGCTTCTCCTTCGGCTTCAGCTGCTTGGCATGCTCTGGCATCACATCCCCCGGTGCCATGGTGGGCTACAGGATATGGCCCCTACGAGGAGAGAAGGCACCAATCTGAGCGCTCTGCAGAAACAGGTGGGGGGTGGGTAGTGTGCACAACAGCTCCTGGCAAAAGCCCACACTGGTGTTCATCTCAGGGCTAATTCATATTCTAACATTTACCATCTCAAAAAGAATTTAGGTCAAATAAGCTTGTTCAGACTCCTGAAAGCTTTCCTGTGTGACTTCTATTTCCTGTCCCTTTTTTATCTCGAAAAAGACAGAATCTTCTTCAATTCCAGCGATTCATTTGAGAATAACTACCAACTAATCACTGAAAAGAGAGCAAAATAAACTCTAAAAGCTTCAGTAGGGGTAAAAAAGAAATAAATGGGGATGGGACACGCTGCCTGCTGTCAGCATTCCTCCCCCTGTCGTGTCAAGTCTCATCCACACGTTCTCCAAAGCCAAATATGAAAAATCAGGGCACCCAGTTATCCTCCAAGGCTGGCAGATGTCAGGGGGGTGGATCTTAGGGAGGACTCGGGTGCGGAGAGGGTTGGTTCCAGGGGTTTTAACAAAAAACACACTCAAAAGGAGTGGATGGCAGACATGGTTCAAAAACAAGGCTGTGACAAAACTATGGACAAAGTATCAAAGCAAGATTTAACATGACTGTGGCAAAAGTGTCAAAACAAGACTATGGCAAAAGTATCCAAATAAAGTAAACAAGACTATGGCAAAACAAGGCTATGACAAAAACATGGCTATGGCACAAAAAAAAGGCTATGGCAAAGTGCAAAAATCAAAACCTTACGTGGCGAGGGGTGACGAAAACTCAAAATGACGAAAAAACACACTGGCACAGGACAGGGGGAACGAGGAATATCTAAACACATGAGGGAGAGGAACCCCAGGTGTACACAATAGGTAATCAAGATATGACGAGACACCAGACATTCCCCCAGACGTGACAGCAGATACAGAGCACGTTAAAGAAAAGACAGAGATCAAACTAGGATTTAAAAAAGCCTCCTGACTGCTCGGTCTGATGAAAGCGTTCCTTAATTCGTGTCTGGAAACAGAGAAACTGAGAAGACGCTGAGAGGCCTGAGCCCCGCCCACACCTTACAGACGATGCACAGTCTGTCTTTCACGCGTCTCCTCGGAGGCTCAATGGAGACAGTGTGTCAGCCCTCATCGCTAGTCCTCTCAGCTCCACCAGCAGAAAGCACCAAGCCCACTGAACACACAGATGATAAAAGACCTTTTAGGTTTGTTGTCTTAATTTCTGAGCCTGTTTGATTTCCGTTTTACCCACATTACTTAAAAACTAACCAGCATCCTCAGGCTCTGTTACCTTATTTATGAGTGAATGGAGTTACATAGTCAATAATAGAAAAAAAAAACTTAACCTCAGTCTGAACTAAAAAAGACATCAAACCCCCAATTTTTCCTACACAACTACAGATCTGGAGGATGCTGGAAAGATGTAGTTTACAATGTCGTGGTTTGCTGAGTGATTATAAGTCTTTACTTAACAATTAAAGACAACAAACAGATGGGATACCTGAAGAAGTATCTCAGGTTTTAGGTACATTGATCAAGTTATCTCTGCTAACTTAAAATAGCCCTGTTTGGTGGTGGCATAGGTTCTCCTGTTTTCTTAAGGAAACGTTTTGCCTCTTCTAACCACATCCAAGTGTACAGATCCAACACCTGTTATACATATGTAATAAATTAAAGAAGTCCAACAAAGGGTTAGAGTTAACCCTGAAATAAGGCCACTATTTCAGCTTAATTTGATGCATCATAAGCCTCCTGTCCATACATTCAGAAGCATTTAAATGAAACATTTAACTATGTCAAAAGGTCCCATGTGCAGCCTTAAGAGCAGCAGGGTAACAAAAGCCAGCAGACAGCTCCTTCCAATATTCTGAAATTGTGTAATTACCATGTTTAATAAGGCCTTTTAAACATTTTGGAATTGCAGTTTTTTATTTAAATGAAAGAGGAGTTTAAGCTCTACCTCTAGCTGTAGGTACTGTACTATCTGTCGTTCAGTATCAGCTTTTTACATGTTTGAACATACAAACAGCTAAAGTGTTTAAATGTCCAGCAGCTTGGTTTAAAATGGGATTACTAGTCGACAACAGCTGAAAGGGTCAACTGATTAGCAAAGCAAGTCTCAAAGGACTATAGTTTCAACCTGGATTCTATAAGGTAAAAAGAATAAACATAAAGTGATATTTTACACCCCATGCCTTTTTATCAAACGCCTCCACCCTCCCAAACATGTTAAATCAGGCTAGCTAAGCTAACACCAACTGTAATTAACGGTTAGCCTGATGCTAACGTCAGGCTAGCATCGCTGTGACAGCTAACGCTACCTGGCAGAAACACGCAGCATTTAACCTTGAATTTAGCGTCAAAAGTTAAACGTTTAACAGCACGAGTAGCCGTGAAAAGACACATAAACAAACAGCCCTTAGGTTGGATATATTTGGCTTCTATACCTCATGTCGCAGCAAGAATTAAAATGCCGGCTTCTTTGATAGGAATGTTTGGCATTAGGACGTTTGTTGTGACTTCGAGTGCTTTCTGGGTAATGTAGTTTAACTCGAAAGGGTCAGAATTATAATCAGAGATCATACAAGTTATCATGTATAATTATTTGTATGGTGAGTCATCTAGATATTTACCTTTATATTTAGAGTATAATTCAATGGAATAGATACATTTCAAACTCCCAATAGTTTACATTGGATTTTTGTATTTCAACCGTAGGAATAAACACAATATAGAAGCTAAAAGCCCAGAACATTAATACTGACCAGTATATTGACACCCAATTTATTGACCACTGACCAACCAAGTCGTACATGTAAAAAAGGTAGCAATTCTAACTTGTTTCCTGGTACTTGCCAGTCAATTATCATGGGTATTGAACACCTTAACAGCAGTCTGAGACACCAAACACAACACTTTCCCATAAGTACGGGTTCTGTTGAAGGCATTAGTGCAAACGGAGTGAAAACAATTGGCCATCCCTCATTTAAAATGGATCTGAAACAGTTCAAATAATCAACTGTGGAAACTCAGTCAAGTCTCCATCAAATTGTATCCTACGAGCACCTGGAAATTAAAGAATTCATCTTTATTTCTATTCTTTTTGGTTCCATAGATGCAGTGAAATGCACAGTAAGGAAAAGTTTTACTGTAATTACAGTAATTATATAACTATATTGTCCCATGAATCGTCTCATAAAATTACACATTAACAACACCTTTGCACCCTGGTTTGGGAGTTTTACTGGATATCCGTTAACTGAGACACTGTTTCCTGCCCTCCGTACCACGGATAAATGGCTCATTTTGAATAGCTAAAACTGCATGGAAAGATGTTTACCATAAGAAAACACACATAAAAATACAAAGTGAGACAATCCAACTGCTCAACACACGTGGTCACCATTATTAAAAATGATTTATTCCAGGAGAGGGTAAATAAATGCAGTACATGCTGAAAAAGTACAGACATAATAACTTTACAGGCCACGTGAGAGATGTACAGTAATATTCAACACAGTCAAAGTTCAGATCGGTGAACTTATCCTACTTATACTGCTTCTTCTTTTTCAGGAGGGCGTCCCGAAGGGCGAGCTGGGAAACAAAGAAAACGTTCCAGAGTTAAAGCAGCTCAACTTTTTACAGCCGGTAAAATTGATCTGGTTAGCCACCATCTAACCCGGTGAGACGCTAACCCAGTGGGAGGCTAACCCAGTGAGACGCTACCTGTTTCTCTCTGAAGGAGCGTTTGCCTTTGGTTCGGACTTTCTCGCTGTGTCTCATCATCATGAAGTTCTTCTTCCGCCTCTTCTCTTTGTTGCTGGTGCTCGCGTAAGGATTCAGCTTGGTCCGCTTCTTCATGAAATCCTTCCGGTCGGTCCGTCCCGCCTAGAAATCAAACGTTGGAGGTTTAAGCTGAAGGAAACATACCTGCCAACGTTTTTCTAGTAACAGTTTCATTGCATCAGTCTAAATGACTGAATTGATTTGAACTAATATTACTGATTTAACCCTATAATGCCAAATGTATCATATTTGATTCATACGGTTTCTGAAGTCTTTTGGATCTGACACTTTTTGCATCATTCAGTGGTAAAAGTTTTGCTCAAACCCCTGTTGTACACATTCAGATATACCTGATAACAGCCAGTAGAAGACTACACCAAAATATATTTTTGACTTATTGCACGCTAACTTGATGAAACTAATTTCTGTTTTTTTTCTTCATATGTTGTTGAGAGGCCAAAGAAAGACTTCAGACTAAAAAAATCTAATTATCTTCCTATTTTTCTTGGATCAGGCTTTAAAGGGTTAACTAAGCTCACAGTTTCTGGTGTGGAATCGGGTCTTTAGTTCCCACTTTAACCCCAAACTTAACGTAAGACGTTACCATTGCTGTGGCCAGCCGCGTTTCCTTGTCTGATTTTGGCTTTTTGTGCAGCTTCTCGATGTTTCTCAGCGTTAGCAGCTCCCCCCTGAGATTAAAAGGGTAAAACATAATGTCATATCGGAGGGATCTGAACCAGAGTTTTGGGAGCGTGTGAACGTTTTTCAGCTCCCACCTGTTGTCCTCGTCATCACTGCCCATGCTCTTCCTCTTCTGGCCCTTCCCCGGGGCGGCGTTCACCTCCTT